GAGAGATTGAGAGAGAGAGAGAGAGAGGAATGCTTTATTTTGAAAATAACTTTCAAAACTTTCAGCAAAAACGGTTCTCCAGTACACAGTGATTACCATAGAGATTAACAGGTATTGGACAGGTGGACATAATTGTATATGAAGAAAAAAGGACTTTAAGGTGCAAGATCGAGTTTTAGTTTTTGTTTTTCAACATCTTTGCAGGTGAGACACCGAGCTAGAAATGGCAGTATGGAATTCCGATAGGCCGAAGTGCGGTAAGGGATGTGGCGGAAGCCTCGACGCATGGGGCGTAAGGATTTCGCAGCCATTAACTCATTAGGAAGGGGATGGACGGTGTCATTCAGAATTCGGTCAGCGAATTGCTCCACCGAGTTGAAGTGTCACTGCACGATGATATCAACTAAAATATGACAGGAAACACCAGCAGCAGAGGCGAGCATTCGAATGACAGATCTGATGGGCAGCTTCGTTCTCGGTTTTTGTGCTGCGCGTGTGTGCTTCCTCGGTGAGCGAAGTTGGCCAAGGTTCTAAGTTGGCTGCCATTTATACTGATTCGAGGATTCTTGTATTCCGTGTCGGGTGACGGTTGATACACGAACACTGCTTTATCCGTACTGATTGTCAGTCCGAAGTTGGCGCATGCGGCGGCGAAGAGGTTCATGGTTCGTTACATGTCCTCTTCAGCCGTGTTGTTTAATGCGGAGTCGTTCGCGAAGAGCGGGTCGTGGACCGTAGTCATGGAGAGAAGCTCTGAGGCCTCCATGCGCCAGCTTTTGGGAAGATGCCACCAGTCCTGTAGGCGGAGTGGATCCCAGGGCTCTCATAAAGGTAGGCGTCCATCAAGATGGCAAAAAAACGCGAGGCTGAAGAGGATTGGGACGAGTACACAGCCCTGCTCCACCCCACTGGTCATTGCGAATGTCTCAGAGATTGTTCTGTTGTCCTTGACGCGTACTATCATCACGTCGTGGAGTTGACGCACCATGTGTGTGAATTGCTCAGGACAACAGAATTTCCGCGTGATTTCCACAGTTCACCGCATCGAAGGCTTTCGTCGTGTCCACAAAGGTGGTGTAGGGGTGGGTCCGCATGCTCTGGCATTTTCCATGCAGCTGGTGGATGACGAGGATCGCACCGATGGCTCCGCTGTTGCATCGAAATTGGCACTGAATTTCCGACAGAAGTGATGGCCGTTGAGACGGTTGAGGAGGATTCGAGCGAAGATCTTCGGGATGATGTGAAGAATCGAGATACCTCGGTGATTATCACAGAGTTGCCGATTCCCTTTGCGCTTGTAGAGATGGACGTTTGTTGCGTACTTGAAATCCTGAGGGAGCTGTCCTTGTCGTCACATCCCCTGGAGGAGCGTCGTGAGGCTATCTATCAATCGTGTTTGTAGATTTCAGCCGGAATTGCATCGGGACCTGGCGCTTTCCCGCTGGAGAGTTGTTGCATGGCGCGGATGGTTTCCAGAAGGGAGGGCGGGAGATCAAGGTACATGTTGATTTCCACTTAGGGGAGCCGAACAATGGCGGCGAAGATGGTGGATGGACAAATGAGTACACTTCTGAAGTGCTTGGCCCAGCGCCTCAGATCTGAGACTTTCGGTTAGAAGAGTTGTTTCGTCGGTGCTAAGAAGCGGGGCTGTTCCTTTGGCTGCGAAACCCCTGATAGTCTTGATCGCTGCGAAGCTCTTTGATTAACTGTGATCCGCAAACATTTGGATCTCCTCGGCCTTAAGAGCCATCCAGGCGTCCTGCATCTTTCGCAACCATTGCTACAAAAGGCGGCGAAATCGGTAGAAGACCGCTTTGTTTGCATCGGTCGGACGGTCGGGGTAGGCTCTATGCAGCCTGTTCTTTTCAACTAACAGGTTGATGATGATTGCGTCATCTTCGTCAAAGCAGTTCTGGTGCTGAAGACGTGCGCGTCCGAGGACACCCAGGGCGGTCGAATGGACGACGTCCCACGGTTGACAACGGTATGTCTCCATGGAGGCGTTTTCATCTGAAGCCTGCAGATCTTCCAGTCGCTGGGTCAGTTAGTGGCTGAGATGGGGACGGTGAACAGGAAAATTCGACAAAACAGTATTTAACTTGCCTGATGGTCGCCCAATTTGTGGCCTCCTGTGGGATTGCAGACGGAGCCTCATCTTAGAGGTGACGAAGTGGTGATCATTCCAGCCATCGGCGTCGCAGATCACTTTGCTCACCAGCACTTGTCGACCTCTCCTGCGGACGAGAACAAAGTCCAGCAGCTGCCAACGCCGCGATAGGGTATGTATCCAGGCCGCATTCCCCGCGTCGAAAGGCGGACAAAGGTGTTGGTCAGCAGAAAGCGATGTTCTGCACGGGTTGGCAGAAGAAGAAGAAGGCCGTTTTCGTGGGGACCCAGCACTCACTCTCTGAAAGCATGCTCTGTCCCAATGGGACATTGAAGTCGCCAAGGGTAACCAGATTGTCCACCTTTAGCACAGTCGCCTGGAGGACGCGCAAGTCATTGTAGTATTTACCCTTCCCCCGTCAGATCTGGCCATTGGGGAACGTTGACGCTGATGATGAGGACGAATTTTAATTCTTGACGAGGCAGACTCAGGCTCATCAGTTGGTCATTTATGGTGTGCTGCCGACAGTGAGGTCGTCCCACGATGCCGTTCCGAATGGCAAGGACGACGCCAGTGTCATATCGCTCTGTCTTTGGGCGGCCGTTCCAGAAGAAGGTGTAACGGGCACCAACCTTCTCCAGTTGACCTTGTTCAGAGAAGCAGGTTTTGTTGAGGACAGCGATGTCTACCTGCTGACGCACCAGTTCTCGGACGAATAGCGCCACCCTGCGTTCCAGTCCGTTGCTCTCCGGATTGTCTAAAAGGTCACGAACATTCCTGGCTGCTAGAATGAGCGGAGTCACTCTAGCAGCCCGTAGGGTACGCTAAAGGGGATGCGAACGGGGGTTTTGTTCGTCTATTGGTTTTACCGTGAACTTTGCATTTACGAGCCACGGTCCGCTTGCTGATGATGATGTGGTCCCAGCATTTGTTTAGGGCACCTTCTCCAAACATTTCTCCACCAGGGCGTAAGCAGTGCTATCCCTAAATAGGGCTACTCAGATCAATGCGTGTCACATTTATTGCAGGTGAGAAGTGCGCTGATCTGCCATGAGCATGAATTATCCAGCGTCGGCCTCACCCTTCCTTCCCTCTCCTCTATACCAGTCCACTGTTCTAGCTGGCCGGCCATCTGGTGGTGAAACAGGGCGCAGTGGTTGGTGCAGCGTAAAGCCCACACATAGGCGTGCCAACACACTCCCGATGTGCGCCAGTTGTTTGTGGGATGCGCGGATTCTGCGCAAGCCTATTATCGCGTATCGCGTTCCAATCTTGCTCCCGTTTTGTCCCGGCCCATCTCCAACGTGACCCGTATTTGGGGCAAAACACACACAGTCATGGCTTAGCACTATTAGATAGTGGCTATTTCTGTCTGAGAGAGCAGTTCAGGGTTTTGCACTTGATAAATCCCCCACTCTGGGCATCGTTCGTCTTCGCCAGCTCTCAAAGTACGCCCGCTATTCTGGTCGCTACAGCCACTAAGGAGCGGCCTTCACTAAAATATCTTGATTGTAGAGCAGAGTAGGAGCGATTACATTATGCCCTTGAGTCCTGCTTCAATGCTCACACTAGTGTCAGAGCAGTGACAAGCAATCAAAAATCGGGAAGTACTACAGACAAAAAGAAGAAAAACTCAAAGGATCATTTGGAAACTTCATTGTCCTCATCAGACCGTCGTACCCGAACCTCTGGTAAATTATCGCCCATGGAAACGCGCATTGGCATTTCTCTCACAAGAGCTTTGAAGGGTCATTGCTTGGAAGCAGCTAGTTTTGCGCGTCCTGTATCCTGTGCAATTTTCGCAAATCCCCGTTTGAAACGATACCTATACATTTCCTACAGACTGCAGTTAACTGGAACTGCCATCGACCGCAGGAATTTGTCGTACTCTGGCATTGTGCGTATTCAGTCAAGACTATGCTTCCGGTTGACGAAAGCAACCTACCTAGACCGACAGACTAAGTGATTTTGCTGGCAGTAGCCTGACACACAGATGGACAGTGTTACCCATTGGATCGATATTTCAGGTGATTCCTGTGACTGGCAAAGAAAACGGCCCCCAAAAATTAACCGCCAAAAACGCCAACGGCGGTTGCGAACTCCGAAGGTGACGTCTCAAAAACAGTTGGTTTTAGTGCTGATAGCACCAGAAAATGGCGAAGTACTTGATAA